TTTCTTCATCGACACGCGGTTAGACCATTCCCACCCTACATCCACGCCAAGTGCCCATTCAAACAACCGATTCCAAGTCGTGGGACGTTACAATGCAAATTACTAGATGTTACATTGTTCTTGATTCCTGAGGAATCTATTTTCACGTGAAGCACTGTTTTTTTCTGGAAGAACAACGCAAGTCCTACATAGAGACGCGTGACTGAAGGTAACGCTGGGCATGACCAAAATCTGCAACAGATAATGAGCTGTAGACAACTGGCAGAGCCGAAAAAGACTTGCTCGCAAATGCTGTGCACATGCTCAGTTTTACATTAAAAACCCCATAAATATCCGGAATTTCGAACTTAATGACGGTCAAGGTGCTTTTTAAAATTATGATGTTGCATTCACAGCTCGTCAACATAAAGAAGTTAGTTCGTAGAGCGCTTTTTCGCAGTTCCCTGGCAATAATTGTGTCTTGCTGTCTCCTTAATGCCCTCCTCAAAACATGTTATATTTAGCCGGACAATGGCAGACTGCCTCCTGTAGGTTCGTTAAAGCTGATAGGAACCACCGTAACTATAAAAACGGGAAGTGTCTAGTCGTCCCTAGATCAGTACTCTGCGCCTGTTAGTTTCCCCTTCCGATTTGTGTTCGAAAACACCATAACCTATGGAGACGTTATTTATGTCCTGATAGACTAAATAAACATCTGCTGCTAACTATTAAAATCACTTTCCTTTACCAGACTTGACGGCCACTCCACTCGACGCAATCGTGTACCAGGCGCGTGCGGATACACGACTGAAAATGTGGCAAAACGGCCTTCTTCCCGACTACTCAGCAGCTCTGCATGACTACCACGCCGCGATCCTCATTGCCGGTGGGGACTTATGCGACCTCCAACAAACGGCTCTCAACAGGAAAAATGCTCTTTAAACGGCCCAACACGTTTGTCTGGCACACCTTCCCTCTTAAAAAAACTTGCGCGATCAGTCCGACTAATTTACCCACCATCTCAATTTATAACCTGCACCGAATAAATGTTCTTGAATGAATTTACAGTCGAATAATAATTTGTGGGTTGTACGCTGCCTTTGCATTTGGTGAAAGACAATTCGACCGTCGCATCTGACGATGTCCACCGTGTGCTCCACAGCAAGGTGAAACAGGCGCAGTGACTCGCACGTGAATTAGTTTATAAGGGAAGAAGACCTGTGCAGCATCTGCCGAACTCTCTCCTACTCCCCACCTGGGCTCGGTGTCAAGACAGAGTCAAGAAAACCGGAGACGAGGAGGACGCAGGTGGATGCCGAGGCCGAACCAGCAACTTGACGCTCCACTCCACACACCTTGGTTCTCAAAAACACTTTACTAGGATTTCGACCAACAACAACAACAACAGAAAGGACGTGGACGACTGGTCGACTATTCAAACGACCTGTATACGCGGTAGGAGCGAAAGAGCATCTACTGCCAGAGAATCAGGTACCAGTGAACTGCCAGCGCAAATCAGGAGCGAGGGCCATGGTTTGCTGATCATGACATAGCGAATGTTCACAAACCTCGGAGCCCATTTGGTGAATAGTAACTAGGCGTCACACTTACCCTGTCGTAAAGGTTGCTTTCTACCAAATAACAGCATTGACATCTGCCTGAGTGGCAGCATAGTTATTTTAGGAGGGTAAGGGTGAAAACGAGGATTAGGCGACGAGGGAACACGTGGAAGAACAATCCGTGACTAAATCACATAAGCGCCAAAAACACCAATGAAAACTTGGGACTGTGATGACTTGTCCGTGGAAAATCGTCATCATCCCTAAGACGTTCAGCGTAAGAACTCTCGGGCGTACTTAGTCGGACTTCCCCCTCCCTTTTGTTGGTCAGAAACGCGCGACCTTTTGGGAGCGACTGAGGCCACCAGATTCGAACAAATCTTGTCCTTTGAGCATGGAAACTGCGCGATTTGGACCACCCACAGCGGAATATACTACCGACGACAGCGCGAGCTGGATTGTCGTTGTTCGTTGGCCACACTTAGCACAAGACACCGAGATTTGAACACACCTCTACACGCCCAGAGACTAATCTTCTATGAGTCGAGCCAATGGGTCTTGATCCACCGGCATAAACATCAAATATTGGAATAGATTGAGTGTTAGCGTTCCTTTAGCACGACTACATGGCGGGATACGGACGTTCGGGTTATGGTCTAGGGCCATCACCGGGGGTCGTGCAGCAACGTGTGACCACCGAGCAGTCTGGCAAAGGGACAACAGAGTACCAATAATCATCGGTAATGGTTCCCGACTGCACCCTCGGCCGGGCCACATCGTTAAAAAATGACCCCAATTCCTGCCTTTGGTGCTCTGCTATAGATGATATGACGATAAAGACAGAACCGCCGGCCCACTTGCATTTAAAGTTTCAGTCGATCCAACACAATCGTGTTGAGCGAGGAGCGACGGTGGGTCGACAGACTGGGTGAAAAGAAGGCGCGCCTCGTTGGAACGGTTTATCATTCGACGACATGCAACTTCAGCAGGCGAGTTGGCTTAGTCAAGGCGTTGATACGGCGTCCAAAACCGTGATGCATTCCACTCGAAAGGCCGATAGGGATAGGCATACTATACAAAAGCACATGAAAACATTTTGCCGGAACCAAACTGAACTAACAACAACCAGAGAGATTGTCTAACTAATTCACAACAGCCAGGACTGCACATTGTAGTACAACGTGCGCCGCCATTCGTGACGCTCTGCGCAATGCTTTTAAAAATGCCTTCGCATATAAAAAAAATCACTTAAGCGAGGACTCAGCATATAATATAACCAACAATAAAATATAATCAACATATATCAGGCAAAATAACCGACAGATAATTCTCGCGTCGCGACACCCTCGCTTCCGATGTTGCAGTGTTCCAGCCATCTGCGGGGATCGCAACCTAAAAATTTGTGCACTTGCCCGTTGCGTCTCTAGACCTACGTGAATAAAGTCGCATCTCCCATCGGAAATGCATCAGTCTTGCAGAAAACAAAGGACGCCTTTGAGAGAAGGGTGTCTTGTTATTTTAAAAGTTCCCAAAAAGCTTGTGAGAAGCTCAGTGCATACGAAATTCATTGAAAATTTTTTCTATTGTTTCAGTCTAAATCCTTATGTACAACAAACTTCAAAAACTGGACCTGGAAGAAAAGTATAAAGGAGAAGTACCAGGAGTTGTTCTGGGAGCCGAGTCGAGCAGACACAGGAAAAACGGGGAAAGGGCTGGAGAAAGTCACGGAGAAAGTCCCTTTGTGAACTTCATAAACAGCACCATCCAGAAAAATACGGCAATCGAAACTAGGAAGAGGATCCAGACAATAAGACCAAATTTTTGGCCCAACTCCTCTTTCAAACAACGCGATACGTCAACAAGAGACGCCGCGTTCTGCTGGGCCAGTTCGTTGCTCTGTTCCAACACGCCAATGTCGGCGCGAATCTTCTCGCCGATAGCCAAGGAAGTTAGTCGAAGCTCCTTGGTCAGACCAAGCATCTCGTTGGCCAAATGTTCGCGTTGTGACACCTGTTCAACCAGCATGCCATCGTAGGCGGTTTTCTTGTCCTCCCCATTTTCCTCGCTTTCTTTAACCGAGGAGGCCTCACCAGGCGTACCAGCACCTGATAAACACATGTAAATGGTAGAAAAGGCAGTTTGGCGACTCAGGATATCGTAGATAGAGTAAAAATTCAAGTATTAAGTCCAGAACGTCTCAAAAGTCTTTAAAAACCGAAATGAGGCGCGTTTCAGCGAGTGGCAGCCAGAGATGACATACCAAGTAGCCTCCGTCGTAGTTGCTGGTCCACTTTAGCTTTTTCACGCTGTTGCAGATCGGGTGCATCGGTGAAGTAACGACGGACAGCCGTTGTCTGTGGTTTTGTTACGCTCACAGGCGATGTTAAAGTGTCGGGCGTGGAGGAATGTGGGCCCGAAGACAAGGTAGATACCTCTATTCGGGAGGAGGGGTAAGAAAATTGCATCAAATGTGCGCACGGCTGTGGTAGCTTTCGATCAAGGGAGGCTGGGATACTTGACACCAACGTGATAAAGGGAGAATGTCCAGCCGACTTTTCCGCCAGGTTAGCTAACTGTTGCACCTTGACCAAGAGCACAAAGAATAACGGAAAAATAGGGGATGGAATATAAAAGGTGGCATGTTAAGAAAAAGATGCGTAACGAAGGGCTTACACGAGCCTTGTAAATGTGCAAAAACTCCGCGTTCGGGCGCGGGGAGGCGGAAGAGAGTCCTTTTATCATCTCCTCAAGTTTACTGACATAGATAGCGTATCGCCAGGCTTTGGTTTCATTTGCTTCCGCCAAATCCTCTGTGCAGTTTAACAAACGGACAAAATTGGTTTCCAGAATGACGGCCATTTGAACAAGATCCAAACTGGGCTTGAGAAGGGTGACAATGCAAAAAGCAGTGTGGTGTCAGGTAGGAACAGGCAAAATACGCCACATAGTAATCAAGGAAAGACACAAGAGGCAGCATACTATGCTAGTTACGAAGGGCGACATAGCATCATATAACGCACATTGCTGGTAAGACACTCAGATCTCACGTAGCGTAAGGAGAGGGTTAAAAAAGAAGAAAACCATGACCAAAAATTGAGCTACCGATATAAGCGAGAAGGCCAGTCCCAGGAAAGGCCAATAAACAACACTGGTGATGAAGTTGCGGAAATTAACGACTCAGATGCGGAAGATCAAGCAATCCTCACACAAAGTACGACCATTGGCGATGAGTACAAGAACCGGTAATTTTAGTAAGGATGTGGTTGCATAGCCAACGAATCCTATAGATACTGCAACCATTGTGCATTCATTACCTTTATCTAGTGCTATCTCCCATGGAGGCCTTGGGCGTGAATCCAAACTGTCAGCCAAATAATTCCTTCGTACCGGCAATCGTGTCCCACGCCTCTCGGTTCAACTGCCCACAATGCCATTTTCAACTCATAATTAGATAGTTCAAGTAGTTTGTCCAAAAAAGCGTCCCGTGAAGTTCAAAAAATAAGCGGGGTGGCTGCGAAAGTGAGCAAACAAGATGGATTGCGAGATTCGCGTTCGTACCTAGTTATCCAATCCAAATGACCAAGGGCTTGCTCGACAATCCAAAAGCCACCTTGAGCTTTCCTTGTCTGACAAGGAGGAAACTTTCAGAAGACCGAAGAGCTTTGTAACTCTGTCAAGCAAACTAGCGCGTCGAAGCTCCAACACTGCTTCTATGGAAAAAATGGCAGTTCTTCAGTCCTGTGTAACCAAATTGTCCCATTACATAAGTTGTCATCTCAAGACGCCCAACTCTCGTAAACTCCGGCTGGGGATCCCTCTGAACCACAATTCTGTTGTTTTGGGGATTCTTTCTTGCTGCTCGAATTTCGTAAGAAGACGGGGGCGCACAATCAAAATCATAGGGGGTTGGCGACGGCTGCTCAAGCTGCGATCCGATAGCACGACCCGGCTACACCCTGAAATAGTAGGGACCAAAATCCTCACAAGAAATGGTAACCACGTCAGTCGCGAGCTACTCGAGTCATCGTTCGCTGACTTGCAGCTCACCAACAAGCACATGACCACACACCGCGTTTACCCCTAAGACCTTGCCTCCGCGAAGTAATTAGTCGCAGGGTGAGGGGGGGGGGTGAATGCTGCTTCCGATGACAGTACAGTCGGGCACCCCAAGAAGACGGATTATCCGTTAGCCTAACCGCTGGCTACCCGGTGCGTCCACAAGTGCTGCCTCGGGTCGTCACGCGGGGAGAGATACAGTCCGTGCCATCATCAAGGCCGGCTACGTCAGACATGCTCGTACCCGTAACAAGTACAAGTAAGTAAACGTCGGGCACCGACACAACCGGTGTACTGCTGGCCACTAACACCTCGGAGGCGGGAAACCAAGCTCTATAGCACCCAGTACTAACATCTGCAATTGACGCGGATGCTGTGTGGTGGCAAATATTTCCTCCTCCCGTGCGTCCGCCATACGTGCCTGTTGCTCCATCGAGTCTCCTTCACCGGCCTGTCTTTGACTTAGCGGTTTTATTGACAGTTCACCTTTCACTCAATAAATTCCAGAGAAGCTGATGAAGATTTCTTGTGCGGCCGACAATTAATTTCAATGCCGAAGCCCGTTAATATAGGTTTCTATCAGCTTTTACTGGCCGTACAGTCTCACAGCGCAATACTTCAAATGTTGGATCTCAAAAGATTCAGTCAAATCCTGCTGATCTAATAATTGTGCTTGACTGCTTAAGTCCTCGCCCAACGTGATCCAGATTAGTGGGTGATGCGCTCCTGAACATGATTCACTCCTCACTGGAGTGAGGCAGCTGAGCGTCACGGTTTTCCGGTAGGACGAGGTGACTAACGACGTCCACAGTGGAAGCAGCCGAGTGTTTCGCTGCATCGGAACATCCAAGTATCGGACATTCGAGGACAACTCTGACCGCAAATGCAGCCGCGTCCCCACGAGTTTATGGTCTACACCTTGCCCACTGTCTGTTTGGTCTCCACGTATTGAGCGACGGTCGAGAACCGCAGTCGGGCAGTGCTTGCTCACGGCAATGTAGTTAGTGTGTGCTTTGGCCCTCTAGACATCTGAAGATCAAGTTAACGGATGTCTGTCTGGATACTGAAGTATAGTTTTAACAGCAACGATCGTAAAACCAAGAAGACGCCAACTATTACCGTGCCGAATACCAAAATCAAACATTTACAGAATGTGCTGAGTAGTTGTACCGGCTTCCGTGATGCGTGCGTTCCAACCCCCTGCATCAATGATGTCGTTGGATGGAATGCAGGGCGGAACTTCACGAAAGAGATCATGGGACTCGTTTCCTTTCTCCTCATTGCGTTGAACGTAGGGGTGATGGCGGCGGTTATGCTGGTAATTGCATACGAACTAAGCAAGCTTCCGGTTTGACGAACAAGTGGTGGCTGAGTAGCAGCGAGGCGCTACAAGAGTGCGGGGAGGCTGAGGTCTAGCGTGTCGACTGTTTTGTAAAATGTAAAAGAGCGCCATGAGGACACCGTGACCTGGCGAATGTCAATAAATTTTCTAGTGCCCACTGCCCCGTGGTTGAGTTTCCGAGCCAAAACGCCAGATGAGAAGACCCCGAATAAACAATTAGTGTGGTTGGTGGGGATTCGTCTGTACCCAAAATTCCCAATAAAGTTCATGTAAAAATGTTCGATTCCGGTGTTATGGTTCTGATTACGGCGTGCGCAAGGACCAACACGCTCCGCAACCCAGGCCCAGTGGTCAGGCAGAATAGTATGCGAACTGGACTGCATAACAGGGAGCGGACCCTTAGAACTGAATGCTAGAAAGGGTGAAAGTTCCTTAATCGTACTGACCGAAATCCTAGAGAGCGCAGTCTTCATCAATGTCAGGTAGAAACTTGTGTGAAGTCCGAAGCTCCGACCAAGGCTCTGGTGAAATCAAGATCCTGCGGGTCAGCTCTCACTTTATCCTCCAACCCAACGGCCTATACGGCTGTTTTGGTAGACGGGATGGAGCGGTCGACCTGCCGGAACAGGGAGACAATCGCGCTGCGGACCGAGGCGACGGAGGCAGTAGCAAACAATCATCACTATATTTCGCGGTCCATAGCACAGCTGAAAAAATTCTGGGATTCAACCACTGATGTTAAAATGACTGGATGAGTTCAGAAACCTTAAAGTGGTCAGCTTAAACAGATTGAGCTAGGTCTCACCACGCCGTCCCCTCAGCCAATCTGGAAATCGGCGAAAAGGTAGATAGAAACTATTTTATCGGAGTCACCACTTCTGTGGAGCAGGCCTCAATAGTTGGCAACATTCAAAAACTCTGCCAAAATGTTTGTCAAACTAATGGCAAGTCAAGTACGCTGAATGACCGTTCGCAATGTAGCGACGACTTACTGTCGAGAACTGAACCATGTTCTAGTACTGACATGAGCACTTTGAGCGCCGACTTAGCTTCGATAATCAACAAGACACCATCTCCCTCTTTTCTGCGGTTGAAGTTTGTCTTCCAATCTTTAAAGTATCGCCACCCACTTCCTAAGGACGAAGTCGCCGAAATCAAAAGGCCGCAACACAAGACGTTGGGAGAAACGGCATTCCTGCTGAAGTCTAAAAGTCTTGTTTCCATATTCTGACGTAATGGCTCCATTCGGTAATTATGCATGCTTAGAGAGATGGGATTTTTCATGCTAACTGGAGCCCAATCATTCTTGCGCCCGTACTCAAGGAAAGTAGTACAAAGTCCGAAGACTACCGCGACTGTGAAGATCCCTGACACTGCCACACTCGGGCAGTTGCAGCGTCAGCGTGACACCAGGACGAGACTCGGTCAAGCCGGGTCTAAAGTTGTAACTGAATGTACCGACTAAATATTCATGCTGTGATACATTCTTAAACTCCATCATGATCACTAGCAACCAACAGCTCTTGCTTTGTCGATCTCGCTTAAGCGTGTGGTCCCGCTTATCGGGGGTCATTATGACGGATAATGAAGTTTGATGGTCTGTCGACAAAAATTATCGAGTTCATAAAAGAAGCGATTTCACCCAAGCGTCTGACAGCATTGCATTCTGCAGTTTATCCCATATACCTATGTCATTCACTGGATTCCTGGAAGAGTTAAATGCGGTTTTGACAGGGCTAAGTTTGGACGGCTATTTTAATATGAGTTTTGGAAACTCATGGGAGAAAGACTCATACTTCAAAAGCTCATGGTGTTTGGAAGTCAGGCTCTTGTTCGCTTTTGTTTCTAAATAACTATAGATTGAAACTACTTTACATGCCTGAAAAAGATGCAAAAGAAGACTATTCGGGCGCGCACAAATCTTTTTCTGTGATAGGACGTACCATTTTCTATAAAAGCCATGACAGCAAATCATGCTGCAAATTGCTGGACTCGTAGGCCAGATAATCAGGCAGAGCTTACAGCAAGCGGTTTTACAAAAACAAAACGACATGCACGGCGTGGCATGTGGAAGATAGTTTTATTGCATTCAAAGGGACTATGGTTTGTCATTCATGTAGAAGCTCAATCCTACCTTCCGAAAAATGAACTTGCAAAAATGAAAAAGACAACAAATGACAAACCTTCTAGGATGTTCTGGTCTGTCGAAAAAAAAAGATGTCGGTGACCTCCAAACTCACTTACTTAGGAAAATTAATAATGGTAAGGAACAGGAACAGGGAGGAACAGGTGGACTACAAGCACAGCTTTGTGAGAGTGCCATTGCAAAAGCTGGTGACTTTGGTAAACATAAATGTATCGTCACCGCATTGTGATGCCTCTGATGGGAATTTAAGGCAAAATACTGCCCCGAAATTTTTCTCACTCAGTGTACGCAGAAATGAGGCATCTACTAACATGAAATCGGAGCGCCGCAGTGCAGTTGCGTGTCTAGAGGTCTTTAGAGACGCCAGCCTCCTTTACGCCGAAGTTGATGTTGCACCCAAGCCAAGGGTAACCGCTCGACATCGATTTATGGGATTGTGCGAGCTACTGCATAGAGATTGCAAATCACAAGCTACTTGCTACGGCTACTTCGGTTATAAGCAAGCCGGCGACATTCTAAACAAAATGAATTACGATGGATGCGAATGGTCGGGCTCCCGGCCGCAGTAAGATGCAATCTACTCGACACCACCAAGCTACAAGCCAAAGTCCTCAGGCTGTTTGCGTTTTGGCTCTCTAATCCATAATACCTTATTATGCGGGGGTAATAGGTAGCGGTTTGAAAGATCCGGCAATTAAAGTAGGTACCGCAGGATCACAAAGTACAGCAATTGGAATGACGAAACCAGCAGGTGACTATTATATTATGAACAAAAACTTTTAATAAAGGTTCAACGGCCAACTAAACAGACGCGGTCTGCCGCGCATGCCTGCGGAAGAACGGTAGCTGTAGCTTATAAATTCTACATCCCCCATAAACAAAAGCAGGTGTGTTAGTGGGTTCAAACGCGACTTCGAAACTTTGGGTCAACAGCGGCTTATTTCATACGGGATGACTAGCATAAATAGTACAAATGTGAACACCTGATTGGGAGAGCCTACAGGCTTTATTTTGTTTTTGCCACCGACATTTCAACGTAGTAAAACGAAAGCAGCACTTCTGCATTTGGTAACCCTTCTTCAATGAACATAGCGAGATCTGCTTTCATGCCATATATTTTAGAATTATCGGCCTCCTACAACTGTTTTGACACGTCCATTATTGTCTCTTCAACACGTCGCAGCTCCATATTTGCGATTATTTAGATTAATTGGAATAAACACAATTTTTTTCGGCATGCTTTTAGCACCAAAAGACTTGCTGGCTGACAAGCTGCTGGTATTGCCCCGTACAGAGATATCGACTCATTGACGCCTGTGTAATTACATATCGAAATTGTAATTTTGGATACCTCTAGACAAGGGTTTAGCACAGAATTGGTAAGCCCTAGACACCAAGGGCCTGTACAAAGTGCAGTCGGCGCTTGAGCAAACAACATGATAAGTATCAAAAGAAACACGCGGACTAAAGAAAAACGGCAAATTCAGTAAGTCAAAATATTCGAAAGGAATGAAACTTCAATTTATTTAAATCAGTTGACTGCGTCATTAGCACGCCACCATGTTTGCCTACCCCAATACTGTCGGCATCCTTTAAAAGTTCAGAAAAGTGACAATAGAGAATAATGCGGCGCTTTTTCGAGAAAACGGATGTGTTAAAACATGTCTTTAAGGCAAAACTGTATCAAACTATTGAGGAATTTTATGGATGGACATAGGATATTTCCCAGTGAAGGAAAAGCGGATGAGCAGGAGAAGAGTTACAATGAAAAGACGGTATCGAAAGAAGAATAGCCATCCATTTGTGATCATAATAGCATGGTTAGCTATTTTACATCTTCTAGCAAATTAAGCCGGCGAAGTAGCGAATCTAGTCTACCTTCTGCAAAGCCTGTATGAGCATCAAACAGCAAGCTATGCTCTAGATCCCTCGAAAGAAGCGTAGAATGGAGAATTCAAAGCATTAGTAGCAAAAAACTGAGCAGATAAAAGCAGTTGAAAACAAAATAAGGGGCGACAAATACGACGAAATGCATATTAAAAGATCCCAATGTTTAGTTCAGCTCAGTTCAGTTTATAGAGGGAAATAGGCCTAAGCCTTTGAGTACCCTATTTGCAACGTAAAAAAATGTGTGGTATACAGATAAATTTTCTGGGCTAAAATATTTCAAACGCGCCCATAATTGTAGGACAAAATGAGAACGGGTTATAGGGGGTGAACTCTACTTCTCATCGCTCTTGGTCATTTTGGAACATAAATATGTCAAGATTCTTTTTAAAACTTTGTATGGATGGTGACATCACAGCATCTGCGGGAAGGGCATTCCATTGTTTGACCACTCGAACAGAGAAGGAGAACTTCCGTACATCCAACCTTGCATGCTGAGTGCACAGTTTTAATGGGTGACCTCGGAGGTTGGTCGTGGTAGCAAATTCAAAGAAGTCCTCGAAGGCTAGACTGCAATCAAACCCCTTAACAATGCGGAAGGCTTGCAAGAGATCCCCACGAATTTGCCACAAAATTGTCCTAAACTTAAGAAAAATAGCGATATCGATCAAAATTTTCTCTCAGAAGTATCTCCCATATTTTAACATTTCGAATTGAGAGGCCAGACGATGAACAAAGTGATAAAAAGGATTTAAGTATAATTCGGGTCAATTCTCTCACGTCGTCATTGAGAGTACTCCGAAGTCGGTCCGTTGCGCTCATGGTGTCAAGCCTGGATTGAATAGATTGCAGTGTTTTTCGCGAAGGCCCCTGGTATAAGTAATTTTGAGAAGTATAGTTGAATCTTAATCTCGTACCGAGAATCACCTTTATTATTTTTAAAACAAGTTTTTTATATTGGTAAGATTAAAGGTTACAGATATGGAATTTGACCGTTTTAGCAAAGAAATAAATGGGCTTCCTATGAGTCATTTAAAAGTCTAGTCGCCCGTAAGTCCGACTACAAGAATGCAGCCACGATCTGTTTCTTGTAGCTGTAACAGCATAATCCGAAAAGCAAATCCTTAGATAGAAGCCCAATGGTGTGTTACAGCCTCCTTGGAAGTTCCACTATCATCTTCTGACATGTGCGTGTTCATAAATAGCCGATTTATGTTGGAGGCCACAGCGTTAAGAGTTAGGAGGCTAGAAAAATGATATAGTTTAAAAGCCCGGGAAAGATTGGTGTCTTTCTAGGAATACATTCGAGGGAAAGTTTGGGAAAAAGTGATCGACTTATCTCAGATGGAGCACAGTATTTGTGATGAACAGTACAGCATTCGACAGTTCGACCGTCGTTATCGACGATGTCCACCGTGTGCTCCACAGCAAGTTGGAGCAGGAACAATGACTTAACTAGTTTACAATGATAGTAGACTTGCACAGCGTCACGAGCAGACAGAGTCGAGAAAACCGTAGGCGAGGAGTCCGCAAGTGGATGACGCGGTCGAGCCCACACCTTGGCGCTCCGCCCCGCACTCTCTGGTTCACACAGTAATTGACCAGATTTTTTATCAATAACAACAATGGAGGGTTGTATGGGTCCCAGTGTGCGCGACGACTGCCGGAAACCGGGTCTGTCACCGCACCCCGAAATGTTAGTATTTGTTATGTTGTGCAATCCGATAACACTGGCCAGAATCTGACATGTCCTCGTATTGGTCCAGCGCATTTACCAGGTGACCCGGATGGGGTAAACTATTCACACAGGCAAGAATGGCGTGTAGAAAATGACGTTTAATTCTCAAAGAACGCAGTTAGACCTGCAGTACTTGCACATGGGAACACGGAATCAGATTGCAATAGAAAAACATAAAAACAACCTGCGAGTCATCTACGCAGTAAAGTAAATACTTATCAAACTTCCATAAGATTATGCCCTACAGATTTGAGGGCAAATAAGCTATGAGAGTTTTTCCATGACAGTTCGGCCGTCGTTGTTGACTATGTCAACCGTATGCTGAGCAGCGTGCTTCCTCTGTAGTTGCGGCGGAGTTGTCGTTTCTATCTCCACCTGTTCAGATAGACGATTGTAACGTCCTTGAAATCCTGAAGGACTTGTCCTTGTCGTCAGGTATCCTGAAAGAGGGCTGCCAGGTGATCCATAATTCGGGTGCCGCCGTACTTGTATATCTCAGCAGAGATCGTGTCTGATCCGGGTGCATTCCCACTGAACTGCTGCTGCATGGCCTTAATGTTTTCGTGTAGAGATGACGCGAGCTCGAGGTCGGCGTTGGTCTCCACTTGACGTAAACAATCGATCACACCGTCGGAGACAGTGTAGAGGCTGTTAAATACGCCTCTGAATTGCTCGGCTCAGCAGTTCAGAATTAACGCCTTCTCAGTGAGTAGGGTAGCTTTATCGGTGCTGAGAAGAGGAGCGGTTCCTTTGGCTGTGGGACCCTAAGCAGCCCTGGTCTCAGCGAAGAAGTTCTTCTATTGGTTGAGGTCCACTTACCCTTGGATCTCCTCGGACTTGCGAGCTGTCGAGGCCTCTTACATCTCTCCCAGCCACTGTTGCACAAGGGGGCGACTTTGGTAGAAGGCTGCTTTGTTTGCGTCGGTTGCCCGGTTAACGTAGGCTTTGTGCAACCGGCTCTTCTCGATGAGGAGGTTGCTGATGACGACGTCGTTGTTGTCGAACCCGTTCTGGTACAGATGATGTGCGCGGCGGAGGATACCCAGGACGGCTGAATGGACTGTGTCCCTCAGTTGGTCTCATCGGTTCTCCACGGAGGCTTCCTCATCAGTGGCAACTGGAACGTTGGCTAACCGCTGAACTAACTCGTTGCTAAAATAGAGGTGGTGTGCAGGCAAACTTAACAACACAGTTACACGCTGGCAAAGTCAGGCTACCGCAGATTAGTGGAAAAAAACGTGGATTCGACTCTAGCCGTATTTCTACAATCACGATTTTCTTGAATCAGACACGATAAATGGCGAGGAGACCTGAAAAATCATGCAGAGACTCGTTTATCCTTAACGAGTCACGCACATAGTGCGTCAATTACAAGACGGGGTGATATCTCAGGTCACGGACAGTGGGACGGTATCACAATCATTCGCAGTGACCAATGGAGTGAAATTGAGTTGCGTACTAGCGCCCACCCTGTCCAGTCTCATGCTCTTTTTCATGCTGTTGGATCCCTACTCTGCTTAAAGCCCATGGCTAAGCATCTTCTACCAGACCGACGGCCCAATTCTCACTACCGGACTCACGAAGGCTCCAACGAGTCTTTCCCCGACTGGTGTCCACGAGCTGCTTTTTGCGAAAGACCGGGGGCTCAACGCCGCGGCAGAGCCAAATATCCAATGGAGCATGAGCCTTTTCACTGCCGGCTGCGCAAAATCTGGGCTTCACATCAACAGGGACAAAGCGACGGTCATACATCAAACGTCGCGCAACGCTGAATACAACGACTTTTCTATCACTGTCAGTGGCATCCAGCAAAAACCCCTGAGCAACTTAGACTATTTTGATAGCTTACTCTTCTGCGGCATCAAAATAAACGACACAAAGGTCCACGAGATCTCTGGTGCCGGTCAGGCGTCCGGCCGGTTGCAGGACTCAGTGTGAAATCGCCGTGGTATTCGACTGTACAACAAACTCACGACGTGAGGAACTCACCGGAGCACTTGCAAATCAGTCCTAAAACCTGGTAGGATCTCGCCCAGGTCCGGCCGGCCTGAAGAATATCAACGGCGACTGGAGCGGCAACTCGCGAAGTCAATCGGATTGTCGCTACCAAAGAAAAAAATAGCGGCTCGCGGATCTAAAACGCCTTCGGCCTACAGCACCACAATCAATATCCTTCAAAATATCCATGCAGCCAACGAAAATTTTGCGCGCGGATCGGCTTAATCGGGCATCCCCAGACCCGATGCAATAACAACGTGCCCGCATCTGCGTCTGCTACCTTCGCAAACGCCCCATCGTTACCCCGGACCAATCACACGAAGTCCATGATGGCGATAATCACCACCGGTGACCGCATACCTAGCACTCGACGCCGCCGTCGGCGTCAAAGCCGTTGTTGACCACCACCACTGCCACTAGCGACACTGTCACTACTCCCTAACAACGACCAGCAACAATCCCACACTCGCAACTGCTGCAAGTACTCCCAACGCCCCGGATTAATCACCCCATCATCACCAGAAATTTGGGCCCCCTTCCAAAATGTCGTCAGTGAGATCGCACCCTCACATCGCGCATCAGCCAGATCGGCCACTGGCGAATTCACCTCACTAAGACTGACAAACCGAAGCAGAGAATCTTGACGTACGTCCGCCGCACCCGCTTCCACTGTCCTCGGCAACGGTAAAGAGGGAAGAGGCAATGAAGCCGATACTGGGGCATACATCTTCTAGAAAAATCACTGCTTTCCCTGGCAACGATATAGAGAAGGACCCCACTTGACTGTCAGTAGACTGTGGATCGTGTCAAACGTGATTTATGGTGAAGGGAGTTTTATGGGTGGGGCAGCACGCTAGACAGTACGCTGACAAAATGAAAGAAAATACAGAAATCGCCTGGATTTTTGCCGAAAGTCTTATCCTACGCTATTGTACAACGAAAGTGAGAGTAATAAGTAAACAATAAACAAAAAGTAAATTTCACAAAATAACGGATTTCGAGTTAGGGTGGGTGATCGTGGGAAGTAATCGTTGTTGGAAGTGTCATTTCTGTAACGGCCTGCAAATGTATGACAAGATAAAACACTATATGACACGATCAACAGTCTACTGACAGTTACGTGGGGACCTTCTCTATACCGTTGCCCTGTCCCCGTTGACTCCACACATTACCTCACTACATTTGTCCATTCGGTCGCATGCGTATCCACGACAGTCGAATAAACCGACATTACAAGGTGGTCTTGCATATCAGACAGCTCTGTAAACTCCAGCACTACCAACTGCCTGTCCGCTTGCGCGCCACCATCAGCAGAATCACCATAGTAACCAACTCAAGAGCCCCCAAACTATCCTGCCCATACTGTCACGGCACATGCGCCGCATGCTTTGGCCTTGTCGGTCATTTGTGAACCCACCGCACCGAGACCGGCGAACTAGTGTCAGGAACACAAGCATACGCCCGTCCCTATCGATACAACTGCCCAACTGCCCAGGCATATTCAGATGTCACGTGGGCCTGCTCGGTAACTACACACAAACCCGTCCACACATCACCTACCACTTGGAACAAACTCCTTTTGCCTAAGTGGGGAGCGTGACCTTCGACTCCTTATCTATGTGGTCCTTCTGCCGCTCTATCACATGTGAGATTCAACTTGTTCAGCCCCTTTGTGTGAAACCCTTCTGTGTGGTATGGGGACCAGGTCGTGCTCAGAGGGGCTGTTTTTGGCTCTGTCTGCCACTGTGTCAAACCTCAACATCAACTGGTTGACCGACTGGAGGTTGATTGGCAGCAAACCTTCATCATTATGAACAATCTGAGGCGCTTGAAACAATCACGGTGCCCTAAAAACCGTGACCTGGAAGGTTACCGACAGACTATTCTGACCAGACCTCACAGTCAGTTCAGATCATGCTTTTGTGTGGAGTGGTAGAATGATAGTCAAAAGATCTGGAAGCATGTGCTATGCCAGTATCAACAAACCGGGGCCCTCGCAGCCTGCAATGCGCTGGCAGTTCCCTGACACCTGGTTCCCTGTCGGTAGATGCGCTTGCGCTCCCTCTTGGTATACAGGTGGTGGGCATGGATGCCCAGTCATCACCCTCGTCCTTCGGACATCTGTTGGGGTTTTGTTGTTAATGTTGTTTTTGTTGGGGAAAAATCCTGGTCAAGTGTATTTCGCTGATCAGGGGGTGTGATGGCACGCCTATGTGCGGCTCCAGCCGTGCCAGCCACCCGCGTTCTCCCCCGTCTCCAGTCTTCTTGACTCTGTCTTGACACCACGCTCAGGTGGGTGAGAAAGGAGAGGATGCGGTGGATGCAGCGCAATTCTACTATCACTGCAAACTACTTCACGCGCAAGTCACCGTCCCTGCGTTCACCTTACTGTGCGTCATCAGTAACGACGACCAAACTGTCGGACGTAATTAACGGCATAACGGCATTCCATTCCGAAATTCTTTCGAGATCGTGATGCCCATATTTTCTAAAGTCATATCGGCGTTTAGCCTTATTCGACACTTAACTTGCCCGGTTTATTACTTGTCTTGTGGTCACCCATTGTGGTCGGTCATTGAGTTGTCCACAATGAAATAGACATTCTAGGCAGACAGAATGAACAGTGACAGACTGTGGGGAGACACGAGGAACTAGACGGTGTGGTTATTTTGTATACTGCTTCGAAACTATGTTTGCGTCCACAAGCAGCGGCTTGCTTGCTCATGGCGCTTTTCCAGCCCCCTCCTCCCGCAGGGTTTTCCCCCAGCCCCTGTCAAGCGCCCGGTGTTCCTACTTCCTAGCCTCAGCGGTTGTATTCCAAGCCACGTCTAGGACATGCGAATGCATAATTGTCTGAATAACGCCCCCTTCGTGCGCGAATACCCTTTGCAGACCACTTAACTAAACTTATCGTCAGTTTTGTCTCACCTCCTGTTAGAAATCCAGTCTTTTATCCTAACCTTACTCCAACTAGACGGAATGGTTTCCAGTATATTATTACCGACAAAGACAATGGAGACTGGAATGGTCATTTTGGCTTATTAGCCGTCGTCAGCCAGTCATACCCAACTCCGAAATGTGAAACACCTGGGGCTCGAACCCGCGATCTGTTAGTTAGAAGTCCAAAGTTTCAAACCACTGGGCAAAGGACCCGTTGTCCTGTCGGTTTCGATCGGGAATATACAATGGTAGGTGGCGCTCACCGATCGTTCTTACGGAACTCTCGCGTTCCGTTGTGCTATACGGGCTCTCTCTCGAGCCCAACCAGCAGGCGCATCGCGGCGCATAATATAGGCAGAATGTTTCCCTACTAAGCAAAATTCTAAAGCCGGCATACTAATGCTTTCTGTCTTTTAGCGGTTGTCCGAATACGCAGTTGCTTCTGTCAGCTGACGGTCCAGTAGACTGAAATATACCATATCCTGCTACTTAAAAGGGGGGCCGGTTGGACAGGAGAAGAGATACTCCCTTATTACACGTGGCCTTGCGTTAAATTCCAGGGGGGTACCTATTCCCGTGCCCTAACGTCAACACCAGCCCCAACCCTAGCCTTCCTGACCCTAGCACACCCCCCCCCCCCTGGAATTTAGGGCAAGGCTACCTGTAATCAAGGAGGGGCATTTATTCCCGTGTCCTGCCGATGGACCGTTCTACTGTTCTAGTTCTAGTGAGCTGCTCCTTAGTGACGGTCTACTATTAGGTAGGACGGACTTATATGGCCTGCTAAACAGGGCATGAGGACGGAAATCGGCTGTAATACGGGTGGCCTTGGGTCACCTTTCAGTGAAAGAAGGGTAAGATTCAAGGTCGGGGTTAGGTTAAGGACCAGGCTTAAAGCTACACTTAAAGTTAGCGGTAAGGTAAGGCAGGATAAGGTCTAGAATTTTGGTGGGAACTAGTGGCAACTGCAGAGCTAAGGTTTAGGACAGGGCTAGGGTTAAGATTAGGGCAACGGCTTAGTCTTATATAAGGATTATTGTGGGGCTTAGGACACAGGAATATTTTGTCCTTCCTGAAATTATGCGCAGGTCCACCTTTATTACTTGGGCGGGGTGTCCCTATTCTCATGTCCTGTTTAGGTGGCCATATAAGTCAGTCCTACCTAATATTATGCCCCTAATTTAGGAGAGGTCACCGAATTTTTATTGTTTGGGACTCCTTTTTACTAACGATGTTGAAAAAGCAGCCAGTTGCCACTTTTCTAAGAACGGTATAAATGCCGTGGGCGTCCTGTTCTAGAAAAATTCTGCCCGACGCCGCTTATTTCGGTGGAAACGTCACCGATGGCATCCTTATCAACGGTGGGGAGAATAAGATTGGTTCAACGCGCCTGCTGATACGACTGAAGGTAAGCGACCGCGCCTTCTATTCCCTTCCACCCATCAATTTTGCTCGCTGCAGCAAACAGTGTTGGGTGGATCCTATTTACTGCCACCACGCTTACGACTTTTTCATCTTGTAGATTCAGAATCTACGCAAGCACAGTCTTATGCCCAAATCGCGTCTCATCATTGACTGGCCCTACGAGATTTCGGGAGACATTGAGGAAGACCATGGCAAATATATGCTATACCTTCTGGAACCCCCATATGTCATCAAGACTGATCTGCCGGTCGGACCTGGTGCCTCTTCAAATGGCGTTAATATGAGTGTATTCTGCGACTCCAGAGCGTTAGATGAAATCGTAAATCCGCAAAATTATAGGGTAAGTCGTATTCTCCACACGCTGACCGCCCAGACGCTCTGCACAAATA